AAAGTCCAGCTGATGATTCTATTAACAGAAAAGGAAAACAAACATGTTCAGATGTGTAGTGTGCTTGTATTGGATAAGTGACTGCTGTCTGAAAGTCGGTATGCACGGTGAGCACATACCGCACAGGTGCTTCAGTTTTGAGTGCGCTGTTGACGTGCACCCACAAAGCAACACAGAAAGGTGCTCACAGCTAAATAAAATAAAATCAATGCAGGAGGCAGTGAGAAGTTAGTTGTGTAAGTGCAAAACAGCATTCTGTAGCAGCTATTATATTATTATACATACTGTATGCTGTGTGTACTCAGTATTGAAATGGGAAATGTTCATGTCTGAGCAGAGAAACTGGTGTAATTAATAACTGGGAATTTCAAATTAAAGTTCTTTGACCTCAGCAGTTTTACCAACTTGTAGTCCTATATATTTATATCACTATCTCTTTAGTATATGAGTTAAATCTGTTCAAGATTACACACCAGGTGCTATGGTGACTGAGTGAACCCAAACTTCACCATCATGAAGGAAGACCGGTTCGATTTTTACTGTCAAATATTTTACACCAAATTCTAGTTGGTGTCTATTTTTTTTTTTAAATGTTCCTCTAAAGGAATAAAATGTTCTACGTGCTTTTTGTTTCAGTGATTCACATCCTGTTCTGCCATTTAAATCTCCCACCAGCAGGACATTACCTATTATCTCTCTCTCTCTCTCTCTCTCTCTCTCTCTCTGTCTGTCTGTCTCTCTGTCTCTGTCTCTCTGTCTCTCTCTCTCTGTCTCTCTCTGTCTCTCTCTCTCTCCCCCTCTCTCTCTCTCTCTCTCGTTCCTTCTCTCGTCTTCCCTTTCTGTCTACCGAGCTCTGCTCATCTCCGCCTCTTCTTCCTCATCTCTCTCTCTCCCCCTCTCTGTTTGATTTGGGGGAAGTGCTTAGAAAACCCCAAAGGCTTTAAAACCAACAGGGGTTTTTACTGTCTGTTGTTGTGGGTCACGGGACAGAGCGAGAGGCCAGAGGTAAGAGTTTAACTTTTATTTATTTTGAAGAGTTGTATAATTATTTTTCTTCTGCATCAGATTGGTATGATTTAGTTTTAAACTAATCTTAGTTTCACATTAATTTTCAACGACAATACGTTTTTCCAGACAGTGACGTACTGACTGAGTGATTGAGATCAACATTTCAATTTAAAAACTAAACTTAAAGTAATTTCAATTATCTGACAATATGTGATGAGACCCAGTTTGTCCAGACAGCACAGAGTCTCTGTCCCTGCCTGTCTTTGTCTCGTCCTGCCTGTCGGCCTGCCAGCACGTCCGTCCATTCCTCCGGACATTCTTCTGTCTGTCGGCTGCTCACCCACAATAAGCTTGTTTTTGCTGATTATCTCCGCATGTGATGAGGGAAACAAAGAGAGTGTGCTCTTTTAATCATTCCGGGATCAGACTTGAGTGGCCATTTGGTTCAGGGCTGCTGCTGCTGCACACTGCGTTCAGAACATCTCAGTCCCAGTTACATCACATGAATGTGCTTTAACACTCAACTTTACCGACTTCTTCACCTTGTGAGTATTTCTTGTCACTGTAACACCTGTCATCACGCGGCTTTCTCCCCAGACAGAGTGAGTCCTCGCGGCCAGGGAGGGACAATGCGCTCGCTCTCTTCGCTGTGGCTGTACGCCGCCCTGCCAGGTGTGCTGTGGGCCTCGCACGTCACCCTGATGGTGGAGGGGGACAATAACGCCTCCAGGATCTGCAAACCCGCCCCCACCTGGGAGATCAAGGGACAGGCACCTATGCAAAAGCTGCGGGGGGATGTGGTAGTGGTGGCGCTGCTGAAGGCCAGCTGACAGTTCTGTCTCACTCAGGCCTCCAAGTAAGAAAACACGTTTTTTAATTTAAATGTCAAAAATACAAACCAATAACCTTGTTGCTCACAGCTTCATGCAGCTCTCCTCCAGGCGACGACGGCACAACTCACCAAAGATCAAAGATTGTCATGAGTCTTTGTGTTTTATGTGTCTGTATCTGTTATTTAATATTAATTTCTTCCTGGCAAAATGCCTTTTATATGAAACTTTGAGCTGCTGCACATTCAGTGTAAAAAATGTTGTGTAGTAAATTATAATGCCAGTCAACAAATCATGTGTGTGTGTGTTCTGCTCGAGTTAGACACATTTCAGCTTTTTCTCATTTACACACTTTCATTTAACACACAAATAAAGAATCTGATGATCTAATGCAATCCAGAATAAACACATGTACAATGACCCTGTGTGTATGTTTAAAGGTTGTGTGTGGAAAAGCCTGTCAAGTGAGTCTGACCCATAAAGGCCTGAAGAGGGCCCACTCTCATATTTCACATTTTAACCATGTTTATTTTTAAAGATAGAAGGAATAGGTTTATGCAAAGACAATGTGTCTGTGGACACACCTGTGAATCACGCACAGACAAAACACAGCTTCACTTCTTTCTTTTTTTTTTGTAAAAATGCGAAACATAATCTTTGGAGTGGAAGATGTTTCCTGTAGGAACATCTCCAGAGAAGGTTCAGAGAAGAGTTCAATGTCTGGATCAGCAGCGAGGTGAAGTCATTCCCAGCTTTTCTTTCTTCTCTCTGTCTCTCTCTGTCTCTCTCTGTCTCTCTCTCTCTCTCTCTCTCTCTCTCTCTCTCTCTCTCTCTCTCTCTGCAGCATTAAAGGTCTGCGTGACAGGCTGAACCGCAGCAACCTGACGGAGGTGTCCTTCATGATCGTGAACGAGCAGGAGGCTCACTCCAGGGCGATGTACTGGGAGCTGAAGAGAAGAGCGCCCCCCGGTGTTCCTGTGTACCAGCAGTCGCCCATTCAGGATGACGTGTGGGAGGCTCTGGATGGGGACAAAGACGACTTCCTGGTCTACGACAGGTAGGGTCAGTCACCTCTTCAGGAGGGGAAGAGCAAGTTCAGATTCTTTTATATAAAACCAACCTCAGCTGTGTCTCAGCTCTTTGATAAAACCAGAGAGCGAACATCAAAATGCATAAAATATTCTTTTGCCACTTTTTAGGTTCTTATGTCATGATTTCTGACTTTGCTCCGCATTAATAATACAAAGTTCCAACTTCCAATTTCTGGATTATAAACTAGAGTATCTCCTGTGAAGGAATTTTAAAAGCGCAGCTATGAGATGCAAAAAAGAAATGAAAGATAACAAATTATAACTATATCATCTGTTTACGCATCGTATTGTGAAAATAAAGAAGGGACCAGTTAAAGCTCAGTGATTCACATCTACATTCAGACTCTCCCTCCCGTTCCTCCAGGTGTGGTCTCCTCACCTTCCACATAGTGCTGCCGTACAGCTTCCTGCATTACCCCTACGTGGAGGCTGCAATCAGAGCCACTTATCAGAAAAACATCTGCAACTGCTCTGTGAGTACACACACACACACACACACACACACACACACGCAAATAGTTACAAACACACGTGGTTGTGAGTAGGAGGGTAATTCTCACTCAATAAATAAAATGTTGCCTTTTAATTAAAGCTGTACTAATTAAAATTTACATATTAATGATGGACCACATGAATGTGTGTCTGATTGATTGATTTATTGAAATAAATATGATGTAAGTCTAGCAGGTCATTTATCTTTCCCAGGCGAATTCTACTTTATCAAGTGACCAGAACAGCGTCATGAGGAATGAGACGGAGGATGCGGACATCAGACAAACAACCGCATCACCCACAATCCAGCTGGACACTGATGATGCAGCGGAGGGAGACAACGACCCGGGAACTCATCAGCACATCCATCATCATCATGATCAACATCATCATCATCATCATGATCAACAACATCATCATCATCACCAGCACAATCAGTCCCAGGAGGTGCAGGATACAACTCAGAATAAAACTCTGAATCTTCATCCTCTCAGTCATCATCATCATCATCATCACGATCCTCAGCATCATCACCACCGTCGTTAGGAAGTTAAATTATTATTAATTATAATCTATATTATAGTCAGTTACTTTATTTTTAATAGGAATAATTGAGGATGATCAGGTGAGCAGTTGAATCCGTTTTGAAGCGTGATCAGACTTGAGGTCTCTCCTCCAGGACTTCCGCACCCCGCCGCTCTGCGTGGACGGAGTGGACAGTTCCGCCCCACCGTCTCCACTTAATGAAGCCTGCGGTATAAAGCCTGGCTGCAGGAGGCTGCAGGTGGATGTGTGTGGAGAGGTGGGGCGGACCGACGGACACTGTCGGTCCACGCGGAGCCAGAGGACGGTGCGAGCTGCAGCGGAGACCTCGGGTCGGGTTCCTGTCTAAACTAGATTCTCCTCCTGGTTCAGTTTCCTTTAATCCTTTGTTTCCTGCTGGAGAACACCTGGAGGAGAAGAACAAAGTGTATAGAAGAACAAACAAAGTGTGTCAGTACTGTGCTTTACTTTAGTGTAATAAGCTGTATTACAGGATTAACCTACATTATTACTCAGTTTTACATGTTTTCTGTACTTGTACTCCTGAATGTAGCAGCAACTGTAGAGTGTTGTTTTGGTTTAAAGAGAAGATGCATTTAATCACTGAAAGCATCGATACTGTCTGTGCCTGTGAAGCCCAGAGCCTTCACTGGGGAATCATGTGTCCTCTTTCCTTTATGATAAAGAAATCCTCTTTGACATCAGAACTACAAGACTTCTTAGATTTATTTTATTTCGTTTATTTATTTATTTATCTATTTTTAACTTTATCATGAAATGTGAAATTCCTATAGTTACACTCATGCTTACTGGAAACTGAGTTAGACGGGATTTAGCTGGAAAGTACTTGGGTTGCTGCAGAAGTGTAAAGGGAACAACACTGCCATATGTCAAGCCAAAGACACACACACACACACACACACACACACACACACACAGAACAGGTGGCTTCTTACCTCAGTGCTGCTTAACACGTGGTGGAGATGCGGTTTGACTGGCGGACGAGCTGAGGAGGAGAAACATCAGAACCATCACAATGAAGGTAAGGTCACTTTCTCAGAGCTCTCGCGCCCATCTGTCATTATTAAAATGACGTGTACATGTTTCAGTTTGACAAGTTAATCTATTTCCTGCTGCTGATTGAATCAACATATCACACAGGTAACAGATTAACAGCTCATCAGTATTAACACGACTGAGGGGGAAACTGGTTGTCATCATGTTCCCATGAGTCACAACACCAGCTGTGTTCGCTGCGGACTCTCACAACATATTGATGTTTCTCCACATATTCTTGTCTGTTTTTGTAATGTTCAGATGTGTTTTACGTCCCTGTTCCTGTTGTTTTCTTCTACATTTCCATCCAGCAGCGCTCGACATGTGAACCCTCAGCAGGCTGCTCGCAGCTCTGTCGGGGATTTCAGTCTGTAAATCCTCGTGAAGAGGCTAAAGTACTTAGCTCCGTCCGCACAGCCTCTTACTTCCACCGATGCAATGATGAAGCTTTTACTGACGTTCAGAGGCAACGTCAAAACAAAACGCTCGGATAGAGAAATATCTTAAAATATTTCTTTCTTTCTTTACTTCTTTCAATAGACTCACTGAGGGCGCAGTGAAGACCAAGCGGGCTTCATCTTCTCATTCAATTCTTAATAGAGACAAAATAACATGAAATAATGAAATATGTTCTCGCTGGGAGAAGGTTGGGTGTTAGAGTTGAGGATAGAAACAGCAGAGGAAGAAAAGAGGAAGGTGTGATTACGTGTGTTTATCATATTTTTATTAAAAATTAGATTGTGATTTGAGGTGTATTGATCTGCTATGAGATGTTTAGGAAGTAGGAATAATCCTTCTGCAGTCCTTTCCCTCAGTGCAAACCTCCACCCGCACCCTTATCAAAAAAGGCTTACTACATTTTGTATTTCTACATTTATTATTTCGTAATTTGACTGTTCAAATGCTAAATTAATTCATTAATTAGTCATATCTCCCTAAATGCTCTGTCAAAGCTTCTTCCACACTTCCAGGATTTAATAAACCTTCTGCTAATTAATGTATGTGTCAAAAATGTTCAAATTCAAACATGTTTAGTTTAATTATATACAAATTAAATTCAAAAACCGATCAAGTATAATTGAAGTGTAACTTTAGGATGTGAATTTCTCCTCAGATATAGAGCCTCACATTTACCGACCAAACCTCAGGGGGCGTTCAAGTCTCCGCAAAAAGAACCGGAAAACATGAAACTTTTAGATGAGGGAGAGAAGAACTGAGCTTCCGTCTACAAGCACTAGATGGCAGCACTGTCATAATTCAATCACTGCTGGCAATTCATCACCCTGGCGTCCACATTAGGTAGCCGCTCATCAAGAGGATTATTAGTTATTATCCATTATCAAGAGATACGTTTGGATTAGTGAACATAATCCTTGAATTATAATCCTCACATCGTCTCTGGGTGGCTTAATCAAATTTGTAGTGAGGTCTTCTTCTTAATGTAAGACAGAGGGCTGCAGTTTACGAACATTTAAATGACACTTTTCTCTGCTTTTTACAAAGTGGAAGAATTTAATCACTTCTTCAAAATGACTTTTTTTGTTGTTGTTGCACTTCCGGCCTCTGCTGAAGTTTGTTTCAACACACGACGATAACGACTTTATTCACATAGAAGAACAGAAATAACAACAAGCAGATGCTGTTGATATGTAAATCAATCTTATTCATTGATACAAGTTTGAGCAAGCAAATAGAAATAAAAATAAAAATACAATTTTACGTTTAAATTTCCACTTGTATTGGTCGTTAAAGACTTCGGTCACTCGTTCCTTTCTGGCCTCCGACTGTTTGTCTTGTTTGTATCGGCCATGTTTTTCAGTTGCACCTCTCTCACAGCGTTGGATTCAGTTCTGCGTTCACAAGGTGATGACAGAGTTTCTCCTGCTCGTGTGTTTTTGCAGGTTCTCACCCTGTGGCAGAAAGTCCAGTTATTCTACCAAGGGATCCTGGAAAATGGAGGCAAGTCTTTATTTTCACCTTATCGTTGTAATTACTCCAGTGATATATGTCGTTGGGTAGTTATGTCAGACATGCCTCTGCCTTTTTTTTTTATCTGTCTGCAGACAAGAGAACAGACAAGTGGCTGCTGGTCCACTCTCCTGGTCCAATCAGCTGCATCTTCCTGTGCTACCTGATCGTTATATGGGCCGGGCCGAAGCTGATGGCAAAGAGGCAGCCGGTCAACCTCAAACCTGTCCTCATCGTTTACAACTTCGCCATGGTCTGCCTGTCTGCCTACATGTTCTACGAGGTAATGCGGATGATGTAGAGCCAGTGTTTCCTAATGTGGAGCTTTTTTTTTTTAGCGCCTTTCAGCTAATTGTTTTGATTTTAAAACCTGTAACTTCACTCTCAATGCTTGCATCGTTTTTGTCCGCAGCAGTGGACAGCTGGCTCCAGTGAAAACACTCCACAAACCCTCAAAACAGAATTAATTTGCTTTCATCCACTTATGGATTTATGGAGACCAGATACATGACTTCAAATGAATGTTAATGCTGGGTGTGTAAACAAGAAGCTGTTGGCTAATAACATCTATCAAGCAGGCAAAGTTTATTTATAGGCCTATAGCACTTTTCATAGAAACTAGCTTCACAATCAAATGAATAAAATCAAATCAAAATACATCAAATAAAAGCAAAGGATAAAATATACAAGATGAAAAACTGATGTAGGACAGCTGCAAGTCCAGTCAACGTTATTTCTGGAGCACATTTAAACACAGCTTGAGTCGACCAAAGTGCTGTACAAACCACATTAAAATGAATAAAAGTAAATCAAATGTGTAAAATAAGTAAAAACACAAGGGAAACATAATGGAGACAAGAAACAACAGAGAGCATTTACACAGTCATGGACGTGACAACACATCAACACACATTTACAAGGTGATAGGACGTTGGTTTTATGCCCACAGCTTGTTTTTGCTGCCCCCAGTGGACAAAATAACACGTCTTTTTTTTGTAGGTTTAACAGCTGTGAGGTCAGAAAGATGTAAATCTCAGGGGATCCCACAGTTTCTATGTGTCCTGGCCACTAGTGCCATCCGTCAGTGCGACAGGAAGTGACTTCACTCATGTCAGAATGGGATGAAAGGTCCCAGTGCTGATTGAGAGAATGAAAGCAGCCTTTGTCTTTCCAGTTCACAGCCTCTTCCTGGTCGGCCAGATACAGTCTGCTGTGCCAGCCAGTCGACTACAGCGACAGCCCACTGGCCATGAGGGTAATCTGTTTTTTACTACATCTCACTTTATGAGGCAGATATAAGATTAGATAAAGATAAGGCTCAAAGTTCCCACCTTCAATGTTCATGTACGGCCTAAATTTTAAGTTTAAAAGTATTATTAGTATATTCTTCTCTCTGCAACCTGACCTGAACCTGAATGCATTCTGAACAATGGATCATGAGAAAAAGGCAAATAACGTATTCATTCATCCCGTCGCACAGATGGCCCGAGTGTGCTGGTGGTTCTACTTCTCCAAGGTGATCGAGCTCAGTGACACTGTGAGTGCAAAACAACTTCAACCTGAAAAGCTTCTTATTCAAAATGATCAAAACTTACATACAATAGTTTGTAAAAACACAATATCTTACTGTGCGTCTGCCTCTCAGATATTCTTCATCCTGAGGAAGAAGAACGGTCAGCTGACCTTCCTGCACGTCTACCATCACGCCACCATGATCTTCAACTGGTGGGCCGGGGTTAAATATGTGGCTGGCGGCCAGTGTGAGTACAACCTCACAAAACGTCTCGAAAATAGAACAAATTGCGCAAATTTTGTCTATTTATCTACCTGTCTGTCCATAGCCTTTCTGATCGGCCTGATCAACTCCCTGGTCCATGTAGTGATGTATTTATACTACGGCCTGGCAGCTCTGGGACCCGGCGTGACCAGATACCTCTGGTGGAAACGCTACCTCACCTCCCTGCAGCTGGTCAGTATCCGCCTCTGTGTGTGTGTGTGTGTGTGTGTGTATTCATTTCAACGTTCACTTATCTCATCTTATCATTTTTCACATTCTGATCATTTTGTCCATAAATGCACCACTTTACTATGTTAATGCGGCAAAATGCATCTCGGGTCGCCTCGCTGGGTGATTCTGGTAGTTGTCTCTGTTTATGTTTTAGCATAATTCAGTCGGATCATTTTGGAGGCTTGTGAAGCAAAGAGACTCATCTGCAGCATAAGGACAGCCAACCTCCCCACTCTGTTTAAGCATATTTGAATAAAATATATCACTTTCATCAACATGTACAGTTGAAGTCAGACAGATTGCTTGGCTTTTAATTCACTATATAATTTAAATAGTTTAAAGGCAATGCCACCAAATTCAAACAAGGTGTATGTGAACCTCTGACACACCTCTGAAAGAAATAAAAGCTGAAATAAATAATTCTCTCTATTATTCTGCAATGATCCTAAAACCTATCTAAGACGGGTAATTGTTTAATTAGTTAAAATTAAATGTTAAAAGTTTTAAATGTATCTGGTTAAGTTGTATGTAAACTTTCTGACTTCAACTGTGTGTGAGATTATAGTTACCAGATTTTTTTTTGTCTATTAACAAATCTTTCCCTCTAATGAGTGTTTGGGTTTAAGAAACATATCTGAGATTAGGAGTATTCAGTTTTGACCGGCTTGGCTCGTCATTGTTCTGGTTGGCTGTTGCCACAGCTAGACAGATTAGCAGCACTGATGCGCCTCCGCTACAGTAACTACTGCACCATCTGTTTTCTTTTTGTAGAGCTGATAAAGAGACAATGCATCTTCTGGTGTTTTTTTTCTTCTTTCTTCCTTCTATATAGCTGCAGCATATATAGGTCAGTATGGTGTCTGACTACCATTATGTAACAATAATTGTACTGACCTTAGTGATGACCCCCAAGCCTTCGTCACACTTGGCTTCACAATTTAGTGAACTGAAGCTAAAATAGTTGAGCTGATTGGGGAGATTAGAGATTGTGTTTCTGTGTGCGTACATATATATTTATATATATATATATGTATATGTGTGTGTGGCAAGGTGGGGGGGTCAACGGGTTCTTTAGTTCTTTTGAGAGGTAATTATTGTATACATTGAAAGGGGAGGTGTGTGGTGTGGAGTGGGATGTGTAATTAGATGCACAATATCCATTATGTTCATTATACTCACAGTTTCCACCCTGAGACTGTAATGCCTCCTTTTTCAGCTAAGACTGCCGTTCGTGTCTGTGTCTGACTGCTCACGCTAACTACCCAGTTCTTCTTCTCTTCTTTTGATGAAGGAAATAAACACTGTTTGCTACATAAAGCTGTAGCAACACACTGGTAAACTCTATCATCAACTTTATTTATATAAACACTATGTATTATTTACAGTAAAACAAGAGCTGCCACACAAGATTAGAGCCAAGCAGCTGCTAGCAAGCTAATCTAGCTAGCATGTTTGCTGCCAGCCAACCACCTCTGTCTCATTCTCAAATAAAAATGTTAAAGTGGTTACTGTGAAATTATTATTATTATTAAAATGAGCTGTACTGTTTTCAGCATTAGTTAAGAAAAAAAAAAAAAAGTAGCCAGCTGAAGCCTTCAGTCTGTCACGTCCTAAAACCCAGACATTAATTAGCATTTTAGCGCTTCCGGTTCCCTCGTCCCAAAGTCTACGGGTTTTTGAAAGGGTTTTTGGTTAGATGCCTGAAAATAAGGTGTGTGGTCAACACAAGCTCAAGACATTTTCACATTTTATTCTGCAACATGAAACACGTCAGTTAATAAATACCTCAGTTGTGGAAAAAGAGACTGGTTAAGTGGCTAAATGAGACATTGTCGTGGACATGACCAAACACGAAAACCGATCCACTCCATCTTTACAGGCTCGTTGTGTTTATAGTGACGATTTATCAAACTATGTCTAACTTTGTAAGAGGAAAAGCTTTTTTAGAAGAGGTAAGAGTCAAATAAAACCACAAGTTGGAAGTTTAGTGGTGGTGTTTATAGCCTAGCTAACATTAGCATTTTACTGGTGGTTGTATTTATGCTTCAGAAATCATAAAAGTGGTGATGGTGGTTCATTTGTGAAGATTATCCTGCTGAACAAAACGTGGAAGTGTCATAAACTTTTGCTTATTTTCTGCAATAATCAAAACACCTATGAAAAAATCCCATTGTCTATTTGTGGAGGGAACCAGGCTGATGCTAATTAGGCTGTAGTGCTTCCTCTCCTTTTTCTTTCAGTCAAATTTGCTTTATTGATCAGTGCAAAGCATGTAATTATATAAATCATAATTTAGAATAAGAGCAGATTCATGTGTCCACCTGTCTCGCGGGTCACGTTGAGGTCACTTGTTTTGTATTTCTTCAGTGTCTTTCTCAGTTTCTGATCACGCAGAGTGCTCAGACAATCTGCCGCTAGCTATTGTCTCTCTCTCTCTCTATTATTTATGTCCATCTGTCTCTCGCCCTCCCAGCTCCAGTTTTTCATAGTAACCATCCACACCACCTACAACCTGTTCGCCGACTGCGACTTCCCCGACTCCATGAACGTGGTCGTGTTGGCCTATTCTCTCAGCCTCATCGCTCTCTTCAGTAACTTCTACTACCACAGCTACCTCGCCAAGAAGACCAAGAAGACGTGAGCAGAAGAAGAAAAGACGTCAGGTGTTTATGATCCGCTCCGTGGAGAGAAAAGAGCTGAGATGGAAGGATCTGAAAACAGGGAAAATGAGAGATGACAGAAGGAATAAAAAAAAAAAGCAATTTATACTTCTCTGATATGTTAATTACTTCATGTTAATTATGTTATGTTAATTACTGCATTTGTCATATGTGCAAATACATTAACATGTGTATGAAAAGCTACACAAACTGAGAAGTGGAGCATACTTATGATTTTTTAAGAGTAAAACCAAACGTGTGTTTTGACATATTTGTGCTGTTAACACACACACACACACACACACACATGCACACACACACACACGTGCACGCACACAGATGTTTACTATACTTATGAGCGTCTTCCATTCATTCTTTCTTTTCTTTCATCCAGTACAAGAGCTCAAGCACAGTCAACACACATTAACCCTCACATTAACTCACTCCCCTCCCCCAGCTGCTAATAGATGAGACTTTCTAATCACTATTGGAGTCGCTTTATTCTCCTCTTACATCCATTGGCTGGTGGTCACAGCCAATCAACTGTTGGCTGCCATTAGCTCTGTATCCTGCTCTCTCCATCTATTCCTCCCCCTCTTTTTTTTTTTTTTTTTCTATATCAGGGTCTCCCTCCCCATGCAGTTTAATCCCTCTTACCAACAGGGAGGCCCCAGCCCACCACGCAAATAACCCCCTGCCCCATCTGTCATGATGTGGAGATATAATTGCCTGTGTCTCATCCGCTCCCCCTTGTGGACATGAATGAAAGAGCTGTTACAGGAGTGACTAAGTGCAACACATCTTTTGCCCTTACATTACATTTCCCCCTGGCCGTCATCACTTATTCCCCCATTCTGTGGACTATCCATGTCTCCCCTTTTATCTCCAGCAGCATATTGCTTGTGAATAGCCTCTGTTCCAAACTCAACAGGGGGGCAGACAAAATAACAGAACATCACATGAAAAAGCACTTTGAAGTGACTAAATCAAAGTTCCAGAGGCAAGCCACTCAGGCGAGTCGTTTTAATACCAATCAGCACAATGTGGCAACTTGGCAAAGTTCAGAGGATCAGCCCTTTACATGTGAGTTTTTCAAAGCAACATGGAACAACTTAGAAAGAACTAATATTTGCGAGAAAGGAGGTTTTAACATGGAAAATGTGATCACTTGTTAAAATAAAGTAAACAGTGTAGAACGAGATTTTAACAGTGCATTCAGAAAGGTTTAGTAATATTTGGACCCAGATGGAGACACAAGACTTGGTACAAGGTATTTATTGGGAAAATAGTTGAAGGGGATTGAAGTGTGGTGAAGGGCGAGGGTGGAGGAAGGCCGGTTGTTTGAGAAGGAGGTGAGATGGCGTCCGGCTGAAGAAGTCTGAGGTTTCTGGTCTGGCGAGAGGCATCACTGAGGCACAGGAGAAAACCGGGTTAGCAAGAAGCACGAGGGGGAAAAAAAACTCAAGTAAATACTAGGAGGCGCTACCACGGAAGCGGGCTGAACAATGTGGCGAGGACTGAGGGGTGAGCCGGGGTACTTGAGCAGTAGGAGATGGGTAGATTGTCGTCAGGTGTGTGGGAATACAGCGGGGAGGGAAACACAAGGGAAGGGAGAAAAAAACGAACACACAGCCAGAGCCGTGTAAAATTAATGTTACACTTGTGCTTTTCCTGTCATGACAATTCAAAATGTCTGCCATGACAGAAACACTCTATTGTGCGCTTTAGATAGGTATTTATACTGCAACGGGCCTGCAATTAAAGACCGATTTAGATTGAAGTGACACACAAAGATGCACAGAACATAGACCAGTGGATGAAATATTGTGGTCTGATGAAATGTTTTCACCCCCTTAGGTCAGGAGCTTCCTTGGAAAAACTATATGAAATATATGTTCTAGAAAAATGTGGTAGATTTGGAGTTTGGAGGCCCCCCCCCCTGAACAAGTGCAAGTAAAAGTAAAACGTCCTCCGTTTTCCAATCAACACACAGAAACATCACTATAGAGATATTTATGAACCTTCAAAGAATGTGAGGCTTTTCCTCACATTTCAAGACAGCGAGACCAGAAGGATTGTGTTTTATCACACAACAGCACTGTAGCCAATGAAATACATGCTAGCATATGTTCCCTGTAAATGACTTTGTAACATGAATACTGTATGCCTATATATATATACTGTATATATACTATTCTACTGTTTATCTTGACGAAACATGAAGTTTATGAGTTGTAAACTTTATGAGTTGTAATATTCTAGTTAATGTGAGGCGCTGTGCTGTGGTTTGGCCCCTGAACAGTCTTCAAACTCATGCATTTTCTTATTCATTTGGACTTTATGGATCATATTTAACCATCTCACTGGTACTGAAACAACCTCAACAACCGCTTGCATTGTGTTGTGTTTATTATTGTTCTGTTTGTTGTTTTTTTGGATGGCAATTCAGATTTACTGTCAAAAACATCTAGTTACTTGCATATGACGTCATACCCAAGTGTTTGTAGCGCAATTTTCAGAACAATCTCGGCTCTTTCTATAATGAGGCCCCTTTTTGTCATAGAGCAAAGGGGTAATTTGACCCAAATGCTGAAAACTTGAAGCCTAGTTTTTGAAATTCTTTTTCTTTTTTCTGTTGTGGATAAATTGTTTTGGTGCTTGAAATGGGTTTACTATAGTCTGCAGGGTCATAAAAATAGTGCAATATATGAATAAAATACTAGATAAATGGATAATAAATGCCTAAAATGAAATTTTTTAATATCACTGAGTCGTACCGCTGTTTCTTCACTCTACTTTGACCAAATTTTAGAGGCCGTGAGTCACGTATGATCTTGCAAGAATATGAAACGGAAAGTGGAGAGTCTACAGATTCTAGCAACATTCAAATCATATTTCTACGCTGTATTATCGCAAAGATATTAATAGAAATATCCGTCGACCCCCATAAATTTAACAGGTTTTCAGCTAAATGAAATAGTTGAGTTGTTGTTGCAGTTCCGCTAAGCGTCCAGAGGGGGGCGCGTAGCGGCTGTAGGAAGAGCGAGCAGTCAGTTAGGAGGGAGGAGGGGTGAGAGCGGAGTCCAGCGCGTGTGCTAGCTAGTAGCCTGTATCCTAGCTAGTAGCCTGTATGCTAGCTAGCATGTAAAGAGTTCAGCAAAAGTTGTTTATACCTGTTGAAAGTTACTGTGGAAGTTATTCGGAAGAAACTTACCTTTTCCTGGGATACTGTTGGTCACCAGATGATTGAGGCGGACTTCTATTAGGTGTGTTATTTTTATGACGGTGAGTATTTTTCTTTTCGGTGCTAGCTTAAACGATGCTAACTCACGCTCGTTTCGTGACTGTAAATAGAAAAAAAAAAACAACAATTGGAGAAACGTGTTGTGTGTGACCGAAACAGAAGCACTGTAAAAATAAATAAATAAAAATTGTGATGTGTGAATAATTTTTTTTAGAAGATGAGATGTGAAATATTGCAAGAAGAAACTATCACCTGGTGAAATGAAATCTATTTTCTAGTGTAGGCATGTGTGATGTTCTGTTTCATGAACATTTGAGCAAGCAGTAAAAGATTATAAGATAACAGTAAGATATTGCCAATTATCTACATACCTAAATAACTGAGGAATAACTTAAGGTAAATTATATACAGGTGGATTTCCAGTGTGCAGGAGGTACATCAAGGACCACTGCTGCCACGTGTTCAGGAGTCCAGCCAACAGCCGCTGGACTTGGACTTGGACTTGTACTTGGTGGATTCTTCACTTGGATCACAGGTAAGATTAGACACAGTACTATTTATGTCAATGAAGGCAGGCTAAATAACAGAAACACCTGTATTGTCAACTGTAAAAAACATTTTTTAATATAACACGAACATCATAACCTTCATGAAGATTTCATGAATCAAGACTCCAGAATCAGTTTTAGCTAGGTGTGCCTAATAAATTGCCAATTGAGTGTGTATTAGTAATAATCAGTTGTATGCACAGGCTGCCAAGAGCCCGACTGGGATTAATTGTTTGATTTTGGTGCCGTTCTCACTTGAGAACCGATCCACCTGGCAATCTAAAGACTTCATAGCAGTCAAAAACTGAGCGATTCTCTGCTGCAAACACACACTTTTCTGCTCCGTTTATCCCAGGGGTTACTCTCACACATCAGCTACTAGCCAAACCTCAATCCCACAACCCCTGAAAATAATCTTGTGACCCCCTTGGTGGATCCTGACCTCAGGTTGAGAACCATTAGTTTACAATACTCAGTGTTTGTATGGTGGTGGTCCCAGTGTTCATACTTCATGCACATGTGACATTCACTCCTGCAGTGAGAGGGGAAAGGAGGAAAAAGACCACAAGCTAGAAAACCAGGATTTCAACAATACAGAGTTTAAAATATATATTTTTTAAAATTGGCTTGGTTCAACACATTTGTTGGCCTCAAGGATACACACAGTGCTCTTTGGTGAGAATCACTGAATGTTACAGGAAACCTCTGCAGGGTAACTTTAATATATGTTTGATTGAATTTATTACTACACATTTTTCTGCTTGCTTTATTTCTTAAAAGAAAAGCTCTTCTGAAGGCTGTGTGATGTGTGACACTTGGCTGACATCAGACAGTCAGCATTTTGCAGTCTGTGTGTGTGTGTGTGTGTGTGTGTGTGTGTATGTGTGTGTGTGTGTGTGTGTGAATGAATGTATGTGTGTAAAGCAGCGCCGTACGTCCAGCACTAAAATAACACAGGACGCACTTGTGTAGCATTAATAGCCATATTTTGCCGCTGGCAAGTATTTAATCTGCTCTGCATCTCATCACGAGTGTGTTGCAAACACACACATACACACATACACACATACACACACGCAGCTTGATTGCCAGAAGCCCATTTAAAGAGTGATGTCCCTCAGCCTTGCTGCAGGCACAGCTCCAGGTTGATTACTGCTGAGTGCCGTGCAGCTCAGGCATGACTGACTTTCTGGCGCACGGTCACTTTGATCAGCTTTCACTTTTGCAACCAGGTGATGGTTTTCATCGTCAGTGTTTAGCGTGTGGCAGATGATGCCAGGCTAGTTACGGGTGTCACTTAAAGCATTAACGCTTTTCACATGGATG